AAAAAAAAAAGAGGAAGGCCCAGAACAAGATAGATTGACCCAGTGGCTGCAGCAATGGGCTCAAAATAAGCAATAGTGAGCATTGTGCAGGACTGGGCAGTGTTTCATTCAGTTGTATGGAGGGTCACTATGAGTAGGAACCAACTTGATGGCACCTCATAACAAACTAGTTTGGTCATCTGTGTAAGAGTTTTGTAAACCATGGTGCAGATAGGGCCAGTGACTTGTCCAGCATTAAAGGAGAGAGCCAAGGCCAAAACTAAGTCTTCTGACTTTTAATTTTGAATTATTTTTATAGTTGTTTTTGGCTTATTTAAAGAGCCGTGATAGCATAGTGATTACATGTTGAGCTACTAACGTGAAGCCAATAGATCGAAATCACCATCAGCTTTGTGGGAAAAAGACGAGATTCTACTTCCACAACGAATTACATGTTTAGAAAGCCACAGCAGCAGTTCTCCCAGTTCTGTAGGGTTGCCATTAGTCAGAATTGACTCGATGGCAGTGAGTTTGAATGTTCTTTGTTTTGTTTTTTTGTTGATTTGTTTGTCATTTAAAATTTTGTTAAGAAAATGGATTTTAAAATGTTTATAATTTTTGAAGTATTAATAAAAATCAGCTGTTTGCAAGGGACTTCATAAGAAATATGGACAAATGAAATGTAAAGATAATAACAATTTTTCGTGAGCTTTTTGAAACCCCCTGATTTAATAACATCTGTTAATTGAAAGGTGTTATATTATTTGTGGGGGAACAAGTGAGTGCATTTCTTTCATATGTATATTCAGATTTTCCTTCTTTTAAAATCTCAAATTCAACCAAAATACTAATGATTTTTTGTTTTATAAACAGTTCCATGAAATGTTTAACCTTTTAAAATAAGTGTGTTTAATAATATATTTGGCATTGCTTAGATATGACAATTACAGCTTTAGTGTGAAATAATTCATATAGCTCCTGTTCTTTCAGTTTTCTCCCAGGCAGGAAAGTTGGCCTGTTCTAATTTTTTACACTCTGCTAATAAAAGGCAATCAATAATAATGTCTATAGTAAAATTTCTGTGATAGAGGAGGGATGTGGTGTAAGATTTATGACTGAGATTCAGGACACTTGAGTTCTAGGTTCAGCTCTGATCTCCAAAGCAGAAAATGTTTGTGACTTTGGGAAATCAGTGTGTCTTTGTGGGCTTTAATAATTTCATCTCTAAAGTGAGTGAATTGGAACTTCTGATTTAAGATGGTAGTCTGAGCCCTTAGACAAAGATAACAGGAGGACAGTACTCAGGATAAGGCCTTTTGAAATAATTTTAAAAGTGTAGAAAGTAGTCAAAGGTTGTTATAGATAAAACGGAGTGGAAGTGAGAATACGTGGATGAAGCATTGCAACAAGGAAGAGCCTCTGGATATAGAGATGACAAATACAGAAGATGAGCGTGAAACTAGTGGCTAAAATAAGGAAGTTAATTAAATGTGTGTCTGTGAAGTAGGCATGCCAGATGGCTCAGAACTTTCTACTCCCACACCATGGACAGTGCTTAGGCTGAGCTCAGGGTTTGTTTATAGAGAGCTAGTGAGCTACTGGAGACTTATTAGATCAAGGTTCTAGGAAAGGCAGAAGGAAGGGGAGCCCAGTATTGGGAACTATCTTTCCCATGGAATTTACAAATTCTAGAACAGAACCTGAGGAGTTGAGTAGTCTTTGGATTGTCTTTAGGGGGTAGGGAAAGTTGGAGCCCAAAGCCCTTTAAGGGGTGAGAGAGCCTAATGAACTTTCTTTTAAATTGGGACTATAGATGATAGAATTGTACAAGAGGGAGAAATCAATGGGGAGAGGCAGGCAAAACTATTGGTAGATTTGATAAGTAGTTTACATTGATGAACCAATACGTAATTGGTTATCTGAAATGCAACCCCCACCTAATTCACAATAAAAAGTTAAAGAAAGATAAGTTGGCATAATAGAAGACCGTGTTTTTAGGAAGCTGAGACAAAAAACGATGGGCCTTTGCAGAGACTGCTACTCTGCTTCATATTACCTAAATGTTCTTCCTGGGGGAAGATAACACCCCACCCCCAAACCAGATCCTTTGATTTTTGTTATTAATAAGAAAAAAAGTTCATTAAGAATTTATCAGGAGAAAACAGAGTCTAATTATAAAACAAAAAGGATATGATTTTTTAATAATTGATGAAATGTAACAAAAGAGAATCTATTTAATTTTAACACTTAAAGCTGTTTTATTCTCTTTTAGTGGTTCCAAGGGTCACGTGTATTTAGAAAATTAGATATAATCCTAGCTCTGAAATAAATATTTACATGTTCACTCATAAATATCATATATGTACATATTGGTTTTCAGTTTTTATACATGTCCTAAAGAAGAAACAGGGAGGACTTAATCGTTGCTGTTCTTGCTGTAGTGAGGTACCATCGGGTCGGTGCCATAGTGACCCTGTATACAATGGAACGCAACTCTGTCCTGTCCTGTGCCCTCTCCCGTCATTCCCATGCCTGAGCCCGTTATTGCAGCCATTATTATGGACACAAAAATATATATGTTATCAAAAATGACCATTGAGGACAAACGTTTGTAGGAAATGGGCAGGGAGATGGAATATAATATTTTCATTTTAACACCCTGTTAAAAGTTCCTGTTAAGATTCCTTTGAAAGGTGGTTGAACAAGAATTTTAAGCATACTACTTAAGGAGGATAAAACATGCTACTTACAGTTACAAGATAAGCAAGGAAAGCACTAACAAGAATAAACAAGTAGGAAAGAAATTTCAAGTAAATGACTGCATCCGTAGTTTTTATAATGGGAGTAAATAGAAGAATTTGTAAAGTTGCTAAGTGAAGAAAAGACAACAAGAACTAAAAGTAGAAGTAACTGAAGGTGGACTTGGAAATAGAACTGGAGTAGAAGAATTTACGCAGATACTAGAAAATGGTCCATTTGAGTCATTTTTGTCAAATAGTCTTAAGACCAAAAAAGTGTGAAATTTGTCTTTTGAAAAAATCTTGAGATTGAAAAGTGTGTGTATGTAAACTGATGGTTTCATAATCTTTATCTTGAACATTTTACAATTTATACAAATGAAGCATTTGCATGTGAACAGATGTGTGTATGTGTGTATATAGCACAAACACAAATCCACTGCCATCCAGTCTATTCCAGCTTATCGCAGCCAGAACTGTCAACCTTTATGGAGTGGACCGCTTCATCTTTCTCACTTGGAGCATCTGGTAAATACGAGCTGCCCAACACCAACCCCACATGAACCAAATTTTAAAAAAGGTCACTCTAAAGTAAGATATGGCATGCCTAATCTTACCGCAAGCAACAGATTCAGTCTTCAACTTACACACAGGTTGAATTCTTAGGCCAAAAAATACCATGAGTACAAGATAATCCATGTAAACAGGGTTACACACCAAGTAAAATAAATCAATAAAAGCAGTATTTAAAATGATGCTTCGCTTTTCAGGTGATCTTTAGCAGCTTTCGACTCCTGATGGGTAGCTAAAGGGTGATGACATCACCAGTACTATTTTAAAACTCTTTCTGCAGCCTAACAAATATGCAACTAGGCTACTCAATTTTTCTTGTCTCTTTTATGAAAGAAAAACTGCACCTTAAATTTCAGCTGGGAACTTGGGATGCTGGAAGTGTCGTCTGTAAAAGATTGTCCTCTTACTATAATGGCATGAAAAGCTACTTTTAGTAGAACTTTAGGTGAAGCAATTGTGTGCATTTAGGGGCTTTGTATTTTAGGCATTTACCATACGCTGAGATTTTTGGCTTCTTTTTTCTTTCAAATTCTTTCATTTGGGGAAAAACACCATTAAAATTATGATTTATTGCATTTTCTCACGAGTTCGACCATTTCTTCCATTGCAGTATTCCAGAATAGACTCACATTTCATCTGTGAGTGACGCCTCCCCCCACCCAATTTAATAACATGTTTAAAGATAAGCTTAAGATTTCATTTCTGGACCAGTATTACATATTTTGTGTTAAGTCCCTCATTCTGAACATAACTTCTATTTCAAATAAAGAAAATTCAATGTGCTAAAGACTGTTTCTAGTTTTGCTTCAGGTTTTAAGATCCTCTCAGAATATATGAGTATAGGCTAATTCTCTGTTGAACAGCTAAAGTATTGTCTGGTCACGTGGTCACAACTTCTCATTTCAGTGAGTTTCAAGTATATTCAGAAAGAGTTTTCCTTATGGAATTAATATTTTGCATTGTTTCATTTTCCAAAACCATTCTAATAGATCGTGTGTTATATTTCCTAATTATAGTGCTGCTTTTGATACAGTTCTTGGGATAAATGTTGCAGTCAAGAAACTAAGCCGGCCTTTTCAGAATCAAACCCATGCAAAGAGAGCTTACCGTGAACTTGTCCTCTTAAAATGTGTCAATCATAAAAATGTAAGTTACTTATATATTATTTCCCTCTCTGTGCTTTAATAATGTCACTGATATATTCTTCAGGGACTTTTGGATATACATTGAGTTTAGGTCTAGGACAAACTAGTGATAAAAATGACTATATGTTGTTATAGGTGTAGATAAATTGGTTCCAATTCATAGTGACTGTGTACAACAGAATAAAACACTGCCTGGTTTTGCATCGGCCTCACAATTGTTATGTTTGAACTCATTGTTACAGTCACTGTGTCAGTCCTTGTCTCGGGGCCTTCCTCTTTTTCATTGCCCCTCCACGTTACCAGGCATTAATGGAGTTAATTTTACTACAAAATTCTTAGTCAATAATGAAGAATATTGAAATTGGAGGCATTATGGTCCATAGGAATTTAGGTCACTCAGCAGTGTAAATGAACCCTGTACCCATTTGGTTTCCCCTTACTTCTGCTTCTATAAAATGAAAACAATGTTGACCCAACAGATTGAGAAGCAACTGAACATTTTTTTAAATCAGTGTTCTATAAGTAGCTTTTTACCTTTGGAATATGGACCATGTCAGTTTTAAATAAATGTTATAGGTGACGTTGCACTCAGGATCGATGTAGCTGGCTGGCATCGCTACAAAAATCGTAGCACTGTGGATATTAAGGAGAAATAGTGTTTCTTCTAAAAATGAGGTAGTACATGGGCACATTGTGTGTCCTGGTCTTACCTGGGCACGATTATGATAACTTTGCCATATGATAAATCCATAAGACGTGAGATTCAGAAGGAGCCTTGGGGATCACCTCACGTGGCCTTGCTTTTAAAATGAATTGCAGGGGTTCTCTAAATGCATGGTGGACATGAAAGGTGAGTTCAGGTCAGGTTGGCTCTTTTGAGGCTACAGTTTGGGTTTGTTTTTCAATTTCTCCAAATCATTCTTTATCTTATTTTTAAAATGCTTCTAAGTTATAAAACATGCTTATTATTTTTAAAAATTGAAACACTGTAAACAAAGCAAACATTCTTGAGCCCTATCGCCCGCAGGTCCCTATCATTAATATTGAGTGGCTGTTTTTAAAGCAGAGACCAGGAAACCAGCACAGACAAAGCCAACTGCTCCTGAGTCTTCTTCTGACGCAGAGTGCGGTTTCTGAGCGGTCAATCTTTGGGGAGCAAATAGCCTCAACTCTCCTTGGCAGAGTAGCTAGTTGACTTGAATAGCTGACCTTTGGTGAGTGGGCCAACGCTTACCCAACAGCACCACCAGTTTTTTGCATGTATACGGATGCCTCACAAAGTTCGGGGAAATTTTTCAGTATCTTGTAATTCTATTTTTCCACGGACTTTTTGAAGTGCCTTTGTATGTATGCATATACATAAAAAAGAGACTGCCCATCCCTGCCTTTTTCTCATGTGAAATGTTCCTAAATTTCATATACACTGCTGTACATAGAAACACACCATCCTTTTAATGGCTACATAGTGCCATGCACTGTAGTTTGTTGACCTAATCACCTACTATTGGATGTTTAGATTGTTTTCAGGCTTTCTGCTTTTGTAAGCAATGCTGCAGTGAATGTCTTTATACTTAAGTCTTGCCCTCTTTGCCCATTGTTCCAGGATTTCTTGGCTGGCAAGTGCAGGATCAGAGAATATGCACCCTTCTGATTTTAATACATGTGGAAAATTGACCTCAAGGAAGACTGTCATTTTTACCCTTTGATTAAGAGTATCTGAGAGTATGTGTTCCTGCTATCTGATAAATGATATTTTTTACTTGTGGGGCTCAATGTCTTTCCCTATACTGATTAATGAGCCCTGGTGGCCGGCTGGGTAAGCCTGGTCAAACCCACCAGTTGCTCCATAGGAGCAAGATGAGCTGCTTCTTTAAGATCACAACCTCCGAAACCCCATAGAGAATCACAAACATTGGAATCAACGCCTATTAGCCCTTTACTTTTATTCTACTGAGAATTTGGTTTTAATGACCTTTGTCCATTTTTTGCCCATTTTTCACTTTTAAGACTATTATATTAAGACCTTAAAAAAATCATTTGACTTTGTTTATGTCTTTTATTCCCCTTTGAAGTTTTTGCTTGTTTGCTCCTGGTTTTGTTTCAATGAAATAAAATCGTCTCGGTTTTGTGTCAAACTTAGAAAAGCCTTTTCTGCACTAGGATGATACAAATGCCTCTTCCTCTTCTACTGTTTGTATGGTGATTAAATATTCATATTTATAGCTTTGTCCCATTTGGAATTTGTGGGTATAAAGATTTATGGGATAAAGATTGAAGTCTGGATCCAGTTTTACATTTTCCCTTGGCTAGCCTATCATCCCAAGCTTATTTACTGAGCAGTTTTGTCTTGCCTGCTGTCAAATGAACTCATGGAAGATCTCTATCTCCTCTCAGTTGGTAGACCTGGGCTTCTAGACAGCCTGTGGAGGGAGTGCCAGTGAGAGGCTCACAGCAAGGTCAAGTGTTTAGCACGTAAATACTCAATACTGGGAGATCTCTGCACTGTTAGCACACCAACAGGATGAGTGTAGGGGTCATATTTGAAACTGTTTTAGAAATTTGTACTTAGCTTTTAAACTTCCAGAGTTAACACTTCTCTGTTTAGTGCCTTTCCACCTGTAATTTCCACCTTTTTATGTTCAGAGACAGAATGTCATTATGTGTTAAAATTCTGTGATAATAACAATTTAAATTGTTAGAATGCTTAAAAGTGACATGATTAAAAAGACTGTTTCCAAGGGGAGAAACATCCTTCATCTTTCTTAAATGCTCCAATAAAATGTTTTGTTAAAAGCAATAATAATAGTAAGTTCTGGGATCTATGATTTTTTTCAACAGTTTTAGTACATTTTAATAAAGTTAATTTTCATAATCAGTAGAGTCATCTGAGGTATAATTATTTTTCTCTTTTCAGATAATTAGTTTGTTAAATGTGTTTACACAACAAAAAACTCTAGAGGAATTTCAAGATGTGTAAGTACCACTTCTGATTCAGTAGTGCATTATGCATCAAAACTGAACATTGAGAAAGCAGAGTAACTTTTTCTTTACTTGGAAATGGTGGTGACAATGCGTGCGTAGTGATATCACCACATTCTCTGTAGAGAGAAGTAGTAAGAAAAGTGGAGAGTTTTATTCAGCTGTTAGTAATCGTTAAGACTAGTAGGTCCTAATGTCCACAACAGATAAAGAATGACCGAAAAGGTTCTTCAAAGTTGACACTGACGATTAGTGCCTCATTAATGCCACTGACCTGCTGCATACAATGTGTTCTCACCGCAGCACTCTTTCTCCATCCTCCTGGTAGCCAGCGTTATAGGATTTACATGGTTACAGTTACTCTTTCAAGTGAATGCCATTAAAGATTCTGTTTCCAAAATCTTAGTTTTCTAACAAATGAAACGAAACATCCATTTTATTATGAATTTAAAACATAATGTTGAAGCTTATTCTGAATGCACTGGTGAATTCATTCCTTCAACAAATATTTATTGATTGCCAACCTGGCACTTGGTTCTCTCTTACAGCCGGTATATTCAATGACCAAAACAGGCTCACACACACCCCCCAAACCTTAATATATTAAGAAATGTACTTGGTAGTTGTATTTTTTTCTGTACCTTGCCAGATTACCAAGGGAAGATAGACAATAGAGACATTAAGTAAGAAATTATCTAGTTGCTTACAATGTGATAACTGCTCTGGGGAAATTTTAGAGCTGGGGGCAGGGAGGGTGATCACAAGTGCTGGATGTTGAGGTTTACCTTGCAATTTTAAATATGGTGTTTTGGGGAATCCTCACTGCATGAATGGCATTTGAGGAAAGCGTTGAAGCTGGTGAGGGGTCAGTCATACAGATGTTTGCAGGAAGATTGAATGGGGACACAAGGAGCAAAGGGTGCAAAGAGCAGGCTGGCTATGGTCTAAGGAGGTGGCTGGTGGGGCTGGAGGGACATGGCGCCCTACCTCAGAGAAGAGGAGCTTGGAGAGAGGGTAAGGCCAGGCTTCTTAGGGCCTTGTGGGTCATTGTAAGGATTTTGGCTTTTACTCTAAGGGAAATCAGAGTAAGATTTTAAGTAAAGGTTTGTCCTAATTGTAGCTTATATTTTAAAATAACTCTGGTTTCTGGGTTGAGAATCCACTGTGAAAGGGAAGAGGGAAGTACAGGCCACCAAAGAACACCAGTTAGAAGATTACTGTAGCAATTCAGTTGGGTGACTCCCAATGGCATGACTTACACAGGGCTAATAAAGTGTGGGTGAACAAAAGAGAAAGAATGCTCTTAACTATTTTGAAGATAGAGTCACAGTATTTCCTGATTGATAGGACGTGTGATATGACAGAGGAGCTGGGAAGGGCACCATGATTTGTGGCCTGAGCACTGGAAGGATGAAGTTGCTATCAGCTGATATGAGAAAGCTTACAGTAGTAGCAGCCTTGGCCAGAGGAGATGTGAAATCAAAAGTTCCGTTTTGGACGTGGTTTTTGTGGTGTCCATTAGCGATCCAAATGGAAATGCCAAGTAGACAGTTAGATGTATGATTTGGGTTTGGGGAGGGAGGTCTGGTTTGATGATACAGATTTTGGAGTTGACACTCTATAGATAATATTTTAAACTGAGACTAGAAGAGACAAAGACATCCTGGAGATCAAGGAAAGTTAGCATATTCCAAAAAGTACACAGAGTGGTCTCTATGGTCAAGTGAGGATTGGCTATTGGATTAAGCAACATGATTGCCATTAAGTGACCCTGAAGAGGACAATTTTTGCAGAATGGTGGGGCAAAAGCTTGATGGAAGTGGCAAAAAGAAAGATGGAAGAAGTGAAGATTGCAAGAATCGTCATTTCTCTAGGAGATTATGTTGCAAAGGGAGCAAAAAATAAAACAGGGAGGAGAGGGCAGAAACTGGTAGAGAAGAAGGGCCAACAGGTTAGCCTTTTTAAAGAGATAAGACAGCCTGTAATGATCCAGTACCAAATGATCAACATGATATAGGAAATGTTCAATGTGAAGATAGTTTTTACCATGATATAAATATTGTTTTACCTTTAACTTGAATGGCTTTGTATAAGTTCGTTGTTTTGTATATTAGTTGGAAATTTTTTACAAAGTTCATTTACTTCTTTTGAAGATACCTTATAAATGTTGAGGTGAAAACAAATTATCTTTTGCTTTAACTAGTATGTGATAAGAAGGTAAATTGTTACTGTTTGTGAAACAAGACATATGGTTTAGTAATTATAGGGAACATTTTTATTGATTTTCATGGATACCTGACTTGATATTTCCCCCCTCAGATATCTGGTTATGGAATTAATGGATGCTAACTTATGTCAAGTTATTCATATGGAGTTGGACCATGAACGAATGTCCTACCTTCTGTACCAGATGCTTTGTGGTATTAAACATCTGCACTCAGCTGGCATTATTCATAGAGTAAGTTGTAATCCCATGTTTCTCTTATTTTTAAAATTGTAATCACTTTGTTGTTCTAATCCTCCTAAGACAGAGAATTTAAAACTTTTTGTCAGTATTGCAGATCTAAATAGACTCTGGGTTGTGTTGTATTTCAAAACATTGTTGCATTTGGAGAAGTTTGTGGACTGCTTGGTTTGCTAGCTGCTGTGGAGTCAGGGATCAAGGAAGGAGCACGTGGCTCTGGTGTTCATAGCACTGCTCAGCTAATACTGCAGAAGACTTCATTCAAAAATAATAGTAATATTGTCATTTTGACATAATTTAAACCTCAAGAGGAAAGTTCCAAAAATAGGACAAAGCGTTACCAAATACAATTTACCCCAAATCTCCTATTACTGTTATTATTTTGTTCTATTTGAAATCCCACTTTCAATGAGTAAAGAATTTGAATGTGAGAAGGAATTAGAAGTCAAGAAGAAAATGATACAGTTGCTTAAGAAATCTTACTTCAATTATGTCCCAAATACCTTTTTCTTATTTTCTGAAAGTTGGCCACATCCCAGCACATGGATAGGAGTCCTCCCTCCACAACCTGTTTAGCATGATCCCCAGCTAGCCTCTTCCCAGGAGGCTGTTGTCTGTTCTGTCAGAAGTAACGTTTAAAAACCCGGGAGATGTAATACAATTCTCTAACCTGATTCATAGGGACACAATAAGTTGATTGTTATCTACCAAAACAACTGTGTAAGCTGAGCATCATGACAGTTCATTAAAAACATTTTTTAATTGTGTGAAAATGTATATAACAAAAAGCTTGCCACTTTTCAGTGTGTGATTCACTGGCATTAATTACATTTATACCATGTTGTACGACCATCTCCACTATCCATTTTCCTGTTTTTCATTACCCTAAACAGAAACTCGGTGCTCCTTGAGCTAGGACTCCTCCTTGCTCCTGCATGAACTTTTGTCTCTATGCATTTCTTTGTGTACTGTGGCTTTCATAAAAGTTAGGATCATATGATATTTCCTTTCTGTATCTGACTTATTTCACTCCTAATGATTTAAAAGGTTATGCATGTAGTAGCCTATATCAGGACTTTATTTCCCCTTATGACTGAGCCAGATTCCATTGTATGTATCTGTTGATAAACACTTGCGCTGTTTCCACCTTTTGTCTATTGTGAATAATGATTTATTGGTATACACTTACCAACAAGGAGTCTCTGCTTTCAAGTCAGTTGGGTATGTACCTAGGAGTGGGATTACTCAGTCAATGGTACATCTGTGTCTACCTTTTTGAGGAATGATATAGAATTTTTTTTATTTATGCATGTTTTATTTCTGTTTGCTTTCTTTATTAAACAGTATGAAGGGGTACCCCGAGGGGGCGGTAACAGGAATTTCCCCCCCAAACTATGTATTTAATTCTTTTTACAAAGCAACCGTATTACCTTCAAAGTACTCCCCATTACACTTAATGCATTTGTCAAATCTGCGATTCCATTCTTGGAAACATTTTTCAAACCATCTGTTTGGATGGCTGATAGCACCGCCCTCGTTTTTATCTTCACCTCTTCTATGTCATCAAATTGCTGTCCTTTCATGTCCCTCTGGTGGAATGAACTCCAAATGCACTATAGGTCGTCAACATTTTCATCCATTTGGTAAGTTGACGAACACCCAGAATGAGGTTTGCATCAGTCGACATTTCATCTTTTCTGAAACAAGATAACTCAGCCCCGCTTGGTGGTCCACGTGGAGAGAGGGGGAGGGGAAGGAGGGTGGGAAGGAGAACAAGGGAGAGAGGACTGGAGAGGAGAGGGGGAAGAGAGGAGGGGAGGGGGCGAGAGAAGGAGAGGGAGAGAGCGATAGAATTTTTTTTTTAAGCGACTAAAATTTTGAATGAGACTAGAAGCAGAACAATATAATTTTATTAGAAATAGGTATTCTTGGCATTCTCTAAATTTTTTCTATACTAGTTTTATTGACAGACTATCTTTAGTTTTTAAAAATATCTTTTATTAAAGTCTTTTTTTAACCTATGAAGTAAACATTTACTTGTGAATGTGAATAAAAACAAATGAGAAAGATATAACCTATCAATGCAGCAAAGAATCGATGGTTCCTTGAAGGAGTAGTATTATTAATTCTTCCAGATCAGTTAAATGCCAGAAAAGGTTGGTTCCATTATAGCCACTGAGAAGAGACCACATAAGGCTCCTCTCCAATCCTTCCCCTTCCCCATCAGTTCAAGTGCAGATGGCCAGAACCAGGATGCAGGCATCTCGTGTCCTCCCAGTGCCTACTGGCTCACTGAGAAGCACCCTGATTCATCAACCAAGGTATACTAGTATTTAAGATACAGCCTTCTGCTGCCACCAAGTGTTGAGTTAAAATAATTTAAATTATGTTGCTGAATTTGCCTAAAATGGTTTTATATTAAACAAAAAATTTAATTATTTGAAAAGTAATACATACATAATCAATCCATAAGAAAAAAAAGTTAAATGAAAGCTCTCCAACCCATCATTCTCACGGAAGGTGGCAGTGATAACAATTTGGTGCTTCTCCTCCTGACTTTACACTGACCCCTCTCTCAGTGTGTATGCTGCTACTCATAGAGCTGTTAAACTTACGTCCTCATAATTTCTATTTTTCAAAACAGGATCATATTGGATATAATTAAACTGTTGCTTATCTTTTCTTTTTACTCAAGGGTCAAACAGTTCTACAGACCGTTACATAAAACATAATCTCCTTTGGCTAGAGCACCGAAGTGTGGTCTCGGTATAAGTCATGGTGAAGTCAGAGCACAGCACAGCCTGGCCAATAGGAGATCTGAGTGGAGCATTTCTATGGCCGCTGCAGTCCAGCCCTTACCCCCTTTTTTAAACAGGTTCTCATGGTCCTCTACTAATGAGGGGAAGTTTAAAAGAAGGAGGTTAGTGGGGCAACTCTAACCTCTATCATTGCAATTAGTCTCCTGACCATGACTGGTTCTCATGCTCTGCCTTCTCCACTTGCTGTTTTACATTTCCCAGCCCCTCATCCCTCACCTTGGCAGGACTTGGTAGCATATCTGGTGTGACCCAAACCTCAGCAAGCTCTGTGTCTTTGTCTCAGTCTGGAGTTGTACATGTTTGTGCGCAGTTGCGATGGAGCAGGGAAGACCAGCAAGTGCCCTCACGTAGTTCTCCCAGCCCCTATGGTATAAAATTAGCCCTACTTCCTCCGACTCACCTGGCAGTTTGATGATCCTTTTTTTCACCTGTCAGTATCTGCACCCATTGTGTCCATTGTGCCCAGTAGAGATTGCAGTTCAGTAAGACCCGTGTTCTGCCCCTGACCAGAGGTCGCCTTTGGGGACCAGGACCACCAATCCTACAGAACTCTGAGTTGTGAGGAAGGAACTCAGCTGGTCTTGGGATATGATGGTAGGTGGGCCCCTCCTACTCCCATCCCTAGGACCCTGAGCCCTTGTATTCTTTTGGAGGGGCACATAGCACCATGTGTTTTTGTTATTTGCCGTTAAGTCCATTTCCACTCATAGCAACAGTATAGGACATACATAGCAACAGTATAGGACAACAGTATAGGGTTTCCACTGCCACAATGGGCTCAAACAACAAAAATTGTGAGGCTGGCACAATGTTTCATTCTGTTGTACGTAGGACCGCTGTGAGTCGGAATGGACTCAGTGACAATAGCGTAGGGTTTCTGAGACTGTCATCTTTATAGGAGCAAGCCACCAAGTATTTTCCCCTCCGATTTGCTTCTAGGTGGAAACTGCTGGCCTGTCATTTAGAAGCTGAGTGCTTTAACCATTGCACCATGAGGATTTCGTAGAGCACCATATAGTGTCAAGTCTAATGCCATTCTATATCCTTTTAGGGTGTTGCCTCTGAGCTGTCACTTCACCTGTTCCATTAAAAGGTTATTCCAGAATTCTGTAAAACCACCAGCCCACTCCTGCCTATGTAGGCATTGTCCCCTCTTGTACTTCAAATCTCTCATCAGGTATCGCTTCAGATGAGCACCACTAAAGCCTTTAACAATTGGCTGTCGCCCTTGTCAGGGAGTGCTCGACTTACCTCTTTGGGTGGCATCTTCTTCCAGTCCCACTTCTCCTTCTTCCTGTCTGTGTTCTCAGACCATTACTCGCAGGAGTGTAAGTTTTCAGAAAAGTCAGCAATATGGTAGGATTAGGCATGCATTGGGAAACACCTGAGGAAAAAAAAAGATGGAGTCAGAGGATAGCAGCCCAGGTTTGATCCCTTGCAGGAGAAAAGGAATAAGAAGAGTTGAATGGAAGCACTTCAGGCTATAACACATCTCTAAGGAAACGTTGGCTAGGCCACCATAGCTCTCCAGCCAAAGCCATCTTCAAAGGAGTCCTCCATCTCTGAGGTAAGGGTCAGCATGAGAATCCCTGTTCCACCCAGCCCTCGGTTGAGAGCAGCCTGTGGGAAGTATGGCCTCTGAGCAAACACAAGGACAGACTTAGCACTCGGCCGTTCTGGGGGGCAGGAACGCTCAGTGGCACATTTCAGGTGCTCCCACAAGTTGCCATGTGTTTTGTTTTGTTGGAACCATCCAGTCGGTTCTACCCGCTAGTGACCCCGTGCCCAACAGAAGGAAACATTGCCCAGTCCCACACCTCTCACAATGGGTCCTATGCTTGAGCCCAGTGTTGCAGCCACTCTGTCGATCTGTCTCCTTAAGGGCCTTCCTCTTTTTCTCTGTCCCTCTCTACTTTACTAAGCATGATTCCTCCTCCAGGGATTGGTCTCTCCTGACAACATGCCAAAGAATGTACCTGTGTTAGCTCAGGTTGACTAGAGAAGCAAATCCAGGAACATTCATAAATGTATAAGAAAGAGCTTTATATCAAAGAGCAATTGTATATTGAGGAAACACCCAGCCCAGTCCAGATCAAGTCCATAAGTCTGGTATTAGCCCATATGTCTGATACAAGTCCATAAATTCCTCTTTAGACTCATGCAGCACATGCAATGATGGCAAATGCAGCAAGATGACAGGCTGGTGGGTAGAAAGTCTTGTGAATCCAGTGATGGTAGAATCATCTCAACACTGGCGCGGGTCTCCACATGGCTCCTCCAGCTTTCTGCGTGTTTCAACAGCAAGAAAGGGAAGGCAGAGAGAGAGTGGATCCAGGCTCCAGTGAGCTATTTATCTCCTTTGCGCCTCCAAATGAGGTCATCAAGCTGCGACCTGATTGACAGGCTAAACTCCACCTCTTCGCTCTTTTTTGTTTTGTTTTGTTTGTTTTTGGTTTTTATTTTATTATTTTTAATCATTTTATTGGGTACTCATACAACTCTTATCACAATCCATACATCCATGCATTGTATGTAAAGCACATTTGCACATTTGTTGCCATCATCATTCTCAAAACATTTGCTTTCTATTTAAGCCCTTGGTATCAGCTCCTCATTTTTCCCCTCCCTCCCCACTCCCCTCTCCCTCACGAACCCTTGATAACTTATAAATTATTATTTTGTCATA